AACCCAATTTGGTCCTTATACCATGAGTGTTTCTTGGGGCTAGACTTACACCAGCCACGGTATTAAGGGACTGACGTGCAAACCTGAATGCCAAGCCATGAGTTTACATTAGGGGACTGTGCCCCATATCCAGAGCCTCTCCCTTCCCAGAATCAGGCACCAAGGAAGCTAAAAGAAGCACTGGAAAGATGTTGTGGGCGTGGATTCAGAACAGATAGAGGCAAAGTGTCTTGGGGTATTTTTGACAGACGGTTAAGCCTTGTTAAATATCCTGTTTCACAATTGGGAGCCCACACATAGATACAGATTGTTCATTTTCCCCAGGTTCAAGGCTCTAGCTGGAAGGTGCTGGATACACACTGCCAGTTCTGCTTCTTTAGCTCGCCATGGTTTTGTGCTTTTGACCACTAGCCTCCACAGACTCCCCACTCCCCCACCCTACTTTGTGTTTTTGCTTAACCAATTTGGCTAGTCAAGTCTTATTTTGTCCATGGAGCTATTTTGTCTAAGATTTGTTTGTATATGTGGTGATCTCATTCATCATATGTTGATCTTGTTAGAAAACTCAATGTTCTGCCAAGATTCATCACCTCTTAGTTCCAAGGAACTTTTCTGATGGATGAGATCTACCGTGGCTCTCTACCAGGCCCTCAGTGTAAGCCCTCAGCAAAATTATGTTAGTAACATAATTTCTATTTCCCTTCAAATTTTGTCAGTTTCATTCTTGGCTCAGTCTTGGTCTCCCACAACACTGGGTAAGAGTCATTTGGTCCCAGTGAATATTGGTTTCTCCTCTGTGACTTGGTCCTCAAAGCCTTGTGCACTTATTAGTATTTAATTTAACACCTTGACAGGAAAGACCATTTAAATGTGGGAATCTCTTTAGCTTCATTCTTATAAAAACCAAAGCAATTAGTGATCTGACAGGACTGGAGGAATTCCCGAGACCATGCACCCCAGGCACCCTTCTAACTCAGAACTGAAGCCACTCCCGAAGTCTGTCTTTCAGCCAAAGATTAGACAGACCTATCAAACAATAACACACGTGAGGAACATGCTTCTTAGATCAATCAAGTATACGAGACCAAATGGGCAACACCTGCCCAAAAACAAAGACGAGAAGGCAGGAAGGGATAGAAAAACTGGAATAATGGAAACAGGGAACCCAGGACGGAAAGGGAGAGTGCTTATACATTTGCAGGGATTGCAACCAAGGTCACGAAACAATTTGTGCATAAATTTTTGAATGAGAAACTAATTTTTCTGTAAACTTCCACCTAAAGCACAAGTAAAAAAAAAAAAAAGCAAATATTGACTGGGGATTTTCATATATTAAAAAAAATCTGGGGAAAAAGCAGCTATGCGGTATTGGGAGAAAGTATTAGACTTGGGACCTGGATGAAGGGCGAGTGTGTGTACGTGTGGGTCGTGGAAGGTAGAAATGAGGGAAAGAGAAGGAAACGCGTTACTTTATATACCTGCCTTCTCTTCCATCATGCACCCTCTCCACGTGACCAAGAACTATACGTTCTAGGTTTGTGTCCCAGCTCTGCTGCTTTTTAGTTACATGACCATGAGTAGTAAATCACAGCCTCCCTCACTGATATAAATCAGGAAAATACAAACTTCAGAGTTTTTGTGAGGAACTAATGAGAAAAAGTATTAAAGTGCAAAGCACTGCACAAAAGTAAAATATTATCATACTGGGGTATGCATTGTGTGTTTTAGACTCAAACACCACAAGAGTTGAAAAAAGGGGAAGTTCATTGTAGCCTAGAAGCGTTACCAAAAGCACAACTGGGGTTGGGTCTTTACGGTCCGCATTTGAATTGATTGGGAGTGGGGAAGGGTAACATTGCAGGAAGAGTACAGCATGAGCAAAGGTGTTGGGGGCAGTGGAGAGCAGAGGCCTTGGCATCAGTGGCACCCAGTGACAGCTAGGTGGCAGGACAGGAGGTGAACTAAAAACCCACTGCCGTAGTCAATTCTGACTCATAGTAACCCGATAGGACAGAGTAGAACTGCCCCATACGGTTTCCAAGGAGTGGCTGGTGGATTTGGACTTCTACCCTTTTGGTTAGCAGCCAAGCTCTTAACCACTGCGCCACCAGGGCTCTGAGCAGGGAAAGGAAAAGGACAAATCTGAGTGATGAGACTCTGCTTTTGAAAAACTGACAGGACTTGGCGACTGGTTTAATAGTGATAACAAAAGAACAGGAGGAAGGAAAGACACCTCTAGTAAGAGTTTGAGCCCAGGGAAGGACAGTGGGAGCTGGGGGGCATCGCTGACAGAAATAGCTGAGTTTGGAAGGGGCACCAGTGGGGAAGATTATTAAATTTGGTTGTAGACAAGCTGAATTTTAGGTGTTAACAGTACTCTAGCTGAAATGTATAAGGGCATTTCCATCTCACATTGTTAAATTTTAATTGCTCTGGGACACTTTAGAATTCCCCTGGGAACAGGAAAAGGACCTAATACCAGTGTTAGGAGAAGCCCAGATACTAGAGAGGATCCGTTTCTGGCGTTCTCTGAGAGGACCAAGTGGACACACACACGCCTCCACTCTTGAGGCATTCATCACTACGGAATGTAGGAGGAAATCTAACTTTTGCCTTGCTAAAAACAAATTCTTTCTTCCTTGTGCCTCGTGTCAGTGACTAAAGAGAGGGTCAGCTCTCTCTTTATCTGAGAATAACACTACGATGACTGAGCAGTGCTAGTTCTTTCATGAACTTCTAACAGGTAAATCATTCACTAATGAAGTGGGCAATAAGGCAACCCAATCAAGGCTGCTGTCCTGTTTTCCCATTCTATTTGACGAGCTTTCAAAACAGCATCAAGGATGTGAATAATATTTGGCAGTTCCACTATCTGATACATGAAGATTTTAAAATACCTTATTATGACCATCCATTCAGCTTTGTTTTGGTCTAGTAAATATGATGTGATGGGCTGTGGACTCACACGGTGTAAGAGCCTGAATTTCAAGTCTTTAGATGGCGGTTCCTCATCTGTGAGCCAGAAGGCATGGCCTAGATGACCAAGCCTCTTGACTTCCTGGTGCAGAAGCTCAGCGTAGTTAGGTTCCTAAGCATGGAGTCAGTTTCCAACCCTCACCACCAAATGTCACTGTTGCTCATTAACTAGAAATAGGTACCTTTGGTTTTTCTAGGGACAGCAGGATTCAGTATGTAAAAAACAAAACCTCCTTATTTAATTCAGCAAACACTTACTGAACATCTATGAGTCACAGACTAATGCCAGGCACTTGGGATGAAAAAGACCATCATGCCTTCAAGCAGAGTAGTGGGAGAGGCATGGAAGCAGTCACACACCAGTGCTCCAAAAACATTAAGCCAAGGACTTAACTCTGAATGAGAAAATCAACATAGCATTAAACCGAGCTCCTAAAGGTAGGATGTTGCTTCCTCAAGGAGACCTTCTCTAACCCCAAGCCTGGGTTAGGTCCCCCAGCCAGATGTTCCTATTGCATCCTTCACCTAATATCTGCTTTGTTGTAATCACTTAACGGCAGCCTTCTGTTAGACAAAAACCTCCGAGAGGGCAGGGCCCATGTGGCTCTTGTGCTGCTGTATTCCCAGTGGTTAACACAGTAATAATGGCAACAGCAACCATTTACTGAGTTTACTAATGGAGCTCCGGTGGCACAGTTGTTAAGAGCTTGGTTGCTAACCGAAAGGTCAGCAGTTGAAATTAATCAGCTGCTCCCTGAAAACCCTATGGGGCAGTTCTCCTCTGGCCTATAGGGTTACTATTAGTTGGAATCACCTCGACGGCACCTAACAACACGTCAAGTGTGATGCTAACTAAGCCTTTTACAATCACCATTGCATTTAATCTTCCCCATAACCCTAGCCTACTGATATTGTCCTCATTTTACTGATAAAGAAACCATGGCTACTGAGCTAGTAGGTGGCAGTTATGAACCCAACTCTGATTCCAATAAATAAATAGTACCACATCCACTTCAACCACTTCTAAGAATTTCCACAATCTGATGATAGCCTACCCATCCAACCTGATTTACCATTCTCTTCTTCAGGCAAGCAATCCCACTCATTTTCTCTTGAACATATAATGCTCCTTACCATCAACACTTCATTCTTTCTTCTCTCCCTATCCTATGCCATTTATTTGTCTAGATGAATGGCTTGCAAATTAGTAGCTAGTTTAACAAAACCTGTTAAGTAGTGTACTCATCTAGCAGAACGACAATTTTCAGAAGCTGTTTTCAGATTTCCTCTTTTACAGAGGCTCACCCACTGTTAAACTGCCTACAGGCATCTCTTACAACTCTATTCAAAACTGAAAAAACAGTTACTTAAAAAAAAACCTAGCTGCCACATCTAATTTTTTTTTTAAATTTATAAGTGTTGCTACTCCAGTATTAATTTCACAGAGGCCAGTATTTCAAGTCTTTTTTAACACCTGCTGACATTTACCACTTTACTTACCGACTTCCTGTATTTTCCAGACAAAATGTTTCAAGAGTAGATCATTGTCCTTCCTTAAAGGACAATCCCATCCCATCTAAACCAGAAAAAATGTTTGTCTATACAATCAGTTCTAGAGGCTGTATAGCATAATGGCTAAGAATACAGGCTCTTAAACTGGACTGCTCAGGTTCCAGTCCCAAACCTTCTCACCTTCTCTAGCTATTGGCCTGGGCAAGTTACTTAACCTGTCCATGCCTCAGTCTCCTCATCTGTCAAACAAGGACCAACCATAGTTTCTACCTCTTGGGGTGGTTAGGAAGCTTAAGTGACATTATCCATGAAAAGTGCTTAGAGGAGCGTGTGGCACGGAGTAAGTACTCAATAAATGTTAGCCATTATTCCTATTTGGCAGATACTCTTTAACTGGTTCCTAACAAAGGTACAAAACATTACATCACTTTTCTTGGAACTTCCCGTTTACTAGTTTGGGGAATGCTTTATTTTTCCTTTTGGTCAAACTGAAATAAACACAAGACATTTGGTGTGTTCATTGACTTTAATGACAATATATATATACCATGCTATTACCATGGAATGTAAATTTAGGTTAGACAAGAGAATTTCACAAGTACATTCTACAGTATCTCAAAAGTTTGTATATAATGTATGACCAAATCAGCTAGCTCATGAAATCATTAATCACCTCCAATATAGGTAATGTGTTTAACATTTATTATTCTTACAGAGAAAATAAAAACACTGCACACATTTAAAAAGTGTTCTTCATTTACTTTCGGATTACCAATTAAAATACACATTGCTATTTCAAGATAACGTTTAAAAATTATTCTAATATGACAGCAGCAAAAATATAATTCTACAATTACAAGAGTTAAATTAGAATCCATAATTAAGTTATTCTCATGTGTGTAAGTATAATTCTAAAATAAATACACTTCTAAGCAGCTGTTACCAGCTTTTTGGGTTTAAACACACACACACTTTCAGTTGTAGGGGACAATATGCTATATTCCATCCACTTTTCTGAAAGGGTTCTTCAAGAGTCAGCTAGCCCTAGAAACTGAGGTACTCAACCAGTCCACAAGGCAGGCAGAAAAAAGTTAAATTAATAGGGGTACACAGCACTCTAACATGACATCCAAAGCATGTGATATTCTGCAGCAACTGGAAGCACTTCAGCGTTGGCCTGCTGTCTTTTCTGGAACTAATTTCATCCTAAGAGTTTAAGAATGTGGGCATTTTATCGCAGTCAAGAGAATTTGGGTGGCATGTTTCTTTTTGCTGACTTGACTCCCCTAATGACCTAGTGAGTGACCTAGGTACTAGCAGTTTGGTCACGAAGCTAGTCAAGCCTGCAGTGAAGAAAGCCTATATTCAGAATACTATGTTCTTATCTGAACCCACTTAAATGGTTTATTTTCGAAGTAAACATGTAACTTAAAAACGAGGTGTCTAACCAAGCAACGCTAACAAGACGAAGATAGTATCTCTTCTTCTAAGGCTTAGGTTTTGCACAGTATTCCTGATACAAGGAATAGCCCATACCTAAAGAAAAAGAATGATAGTTAAGCACTCAAATAATTTCTTCTATATTAAGAAAATAAAAACAGTTCATAAAAGAGCTAAAAGTAGCACCCTTGCTGCATGGACTATTTATAAGGGGAAAAGACCAAGTGTGAGCACACTCTTGCCTTCTTAAACAATTTAGATTTCTAAAACTTTATATATAGTTTTCCAAGTAGTTCAAGGCTAATATGACTAGCTCACACTTAAAAATGTCTGTTTTAAAACACAATCAATATTTATCTGGCAACCTCAGAAGGAGTCACTCTTGCTTCCTAACAGCAGATGAAGTCAGTGAATCACAAAGCCAATAAAAGCATGCAATACCTACACTTTAAAAATCTTCTCTACTTTCAGAAACTCAAGAAAATAGCAATCATATATTTATCTGAGATACTGGATCCTATTACCAGCCCTATCTGCAAGTAGACTCTTCAGTGAAATTGTAAACTCAGAGATGAACAGGATTGTTTTTTCTTCCTCTAAAATCCTAGCACACTGTATCATAGACAATAAAATTGTATCACTACTTGAATTATTTTTATCCAAGTTTTATATTAAAATGCGTATGTGTTATTTGCAAACTGCTACAAGTTCAGCTAAAAATATCAACTTTGTTTTGTTTATACAGAAATGCATTAATAGGTAAGCACAAATTTAAAATCTCCTCTAGGAACCTACCAAATGTCATTGCTCCCACAACGAAGCCTTGGGCTGCCACCCGCATGTGAATCAGGTGGACGGACATCTTAGTATTTCCCCTGCTCTTCAGTTTGTATAATCCATATGCAACGATTGCTGCAAAACCTGCCATTCCTGTAACACAAACAGTCGCAAGTACGTTAGATGCATGAGGGGAGGGGAGGAGATCAAGATGATTTCACCGTCAATCAGTGGACTCTCCACTATTTTATCACATCAGATCCAGAAAAATCAGGATTATCGTAAAACGTGGACTTGTGGACAGTTAATATAGCAGAGAAGATCTTAAACGTTACTATCACTGAGAAATAGAGATGGATCTCGTCTGTAAACTTCAAACTCTGAGATACTGTACTGGGAAGACTGTTAAGTAACAAATCAGTGGTAAGAGTTCTGAGGTAAAAGGAATATGATCCTCGAATTCTACACCTAGCCAAGCTCTCATTCATTTTGTGGGCAAAAAAAACACTCAAGATATGACCCTGTGTGTTTTCAAAGTCTACCATCTATGTACTTATGTTAAAGAAAAAAAAAAAGGAGAAGATGATGATGAACTAGAGGAAGTAAAGGAGCCCTGATGGCCCAATGGTTAATCACTTGGTTGCTAACTGAAAAGTTGGCGGTTTGAACCCACCCAGCAGCTCCTCAGGAAGAAGACCTGGTGATCTGCTCCTGTAAAGATTACAGCCTAGAAAACTGTATGGGGCAGTTCTACTCCGTCATGTGGGGTCGCTATGAGTCAGAATCGACTTGCCAGCACCTAACAACACAGGAAGTAATCCAGTCAAATGAAAAACGTATCAAAATGGATACTTAAAGAAATAAACATAATATGTGAACTATAATGATCAATAAAGCCAGTAAAATCTATACTGTTTCTTGAAAATGACTGGGTGTTATTATAGAAAAATTAATGATCTGGAAATAAAGTTATGATTATTACAACAAAACTTTTGGCTAATAAAATTATGCTAAAGGTCTTGTCTTAATTTAGGGAATGCATTTATACTCAGTATAATACTTGGAACAGATGAAAAGACATATGCTGAATAAAAATGTAAAGTAGTATAGAAATAGTTGCACAACTTTCAGATCATTAGAAGAAAAATAAGACAATAATGGGCAACAGCACAATAGGTAACAAATAGAAAACAGTACGATGGCAGAAGTAAAACTAAGAGAACTGTTATTATGTGAACGGGTTAACTTCCTCTACTGGGTTAAAAAGCAACACCTGGATATATGCTTTGTATGGACAATTAACTAAAATAACACTAAAGAGCTGAAAAGAAAAGGATGGGCGAAAATAAGGATCGGCAATAACAACAAAAAGAAAACGCAGAAGTGGCAACGCTAAATTGCTATCAGAGTAGAATTCTAGGTAAAACTCATCAACCATGTCATACAGGTAGACATTTTATAATAATAAAAATGTTAATCCATAAAAAGTAAGTCATAAATCTTTAAATAATCCAATTACTATAGTAATAAAATAACTGCAGCAAAAGTTGTTAGGAACGTAAGGCAGACTCTATTAGAAGATAATAAAAATGAGAAACTGTAACGTATCTCAGAAAATGATAAAGCAAGACACCCCGAAGTAAAGCTGTTGAATTGAACAACACCATTAAATAACCATAATTTAATAGAATGTTTGAATTTAAAACAGAAATCACATATTCTTTCAAATGCCTATGAAGTTTTTACAAAGTCACTCTTGTATTAGGCCACAAAGAAAATTTCAAATTCCAAAAAGGCTGTACAGGCAGTCCCCAAGTTATGAAGAAGATCAGTTCCTAAACCTGTCTTTAAGTCAAATTTGTAAGGAAGTCAGAACAGGTACATACGGTACTTATTTAGCTTCAGTTAGTCAAATATTTGTCTTAGTATACAGTATATATTTTACCTTTCTATGCATATAGAAAGGATCCCTGGTGGCGCAGTGGTTAAAGAGATGGACTATTAACCAAAAGGCTGGCAGTTCGAAACCACTGGGGGCTCCTCAAGAGAAAGATGTGGCGGTCTGCTTCCATAGATATTTACAGCCTTGGAAACCCTATGGGGTTGCTATGAGTCGGAATCAACTCCATGGCAGTGGGTTTATGCATATAAAACACTTAATACTTCCAAACCACACAACGAGCGTCACAAAGTAGTGCATGTATTCATTATTATGAAGCCACTGTATTTAACTCAAATTTTTAATATAACAGGTGTTATGGCAGTCTACTCTTAAGTATGAGTTGTCCATTAAGTCAGACATTCGTAACCTGGGGAATGCCTGTATTCCTGGACTACAATACCATAAAACCAAAACGTAGCAATCAAAATATAAAACAGTCACATATACACATCCCTAACCACTTAGCAGTTAAACCTATCTTAAATAAATAATTGGGTTCAGAAATTAAAAGTAAAAACAGATTTTGGGAAACTATCAAACAACTGCCTTAGCAGTGAAAAACAAAATCAGTACTGATTCTTAAACTAGCAAAGAAAACAAGCTGACAAACCTCAAGGAAATCTGATCAAGAAAAGAAAAAATGAGTACACAACATTAGGAATGGGAAAGAGGCTATAACCACAAATAGTAATTTTAAAAATAAATTACTCTGCACATCTTAATGTCAAATTTGAAAATCTAGGTGAAATGATTTTTTTAAATAATTTTAAAAATTTTTATCGTGCTTTAGGTGAAAGTTTACAGTGCAGATTAGTTTTTCATTCAAAAATTTATATACAAATTGTTTTGTGACACTGGTTGCAATCCCTGCAATGTGTTAGCACTCTCCCCCTTTCCGTTTGAACCCCAGGTTCCCTGTGGCCAATCATCCAGTTTTCCTGTCCCTTCCCGCCTTTTGGGCAGGTGTTGCCCATTTGGTCTTGTAGACTTGACTGAACTCAGAAGCACGTTCCTCACGTGTGTTGTCTGTCTTATAGGCCGGTCTAATCTTTGGCTGAAAGGTGGACTTCGTGAGTGGCTTCAGTTCTGAGTTAGAAGGGTATCTGGGGTCCATAGTCTCGGGAGGTCCTCCAGTCTTGGTCAGAACAGTAAGTCTGGTCTTTTTTTTGTGAATTTGAATTTGTTCTACATTTTTCTCTTGCTCTGTCCAGGACCCTCTATTGTGATCCCTGTCAGAGCCACTGGTGGTGGAAGCCAGGCACCATGTAGGTCTTCTGGGCTCAGGCAGGTGGAGGCTGAGGTTCATGTGATCCATTAGTCTTTTGGACTAATATTTTCCTTGTGCCTTCGGTTTTCTGCATTCTCCTATGCCCCCTACGGAATGGGCCCAATAGATGTATCTTGGGTGGCAGCTCACAAGCTTTTAAGACCTCAGACATTACTCTCCAAAGTAAGGTATAGAACATTTTCTTTATGAACTATGTTATGCTGACTGCCCTAGATGTTCTCTGAGACCATGGTCCCCATCCCTCAGCCCCATATCTGGTCCCTCAAGGTGTTTGAATGTGTCTAGAACGCTTCAATGGCTTTGCCTTGGCCAGGTTATGCTGACTTACCCTATATTGTGTGTTGTCTTTTCCTTCACCAAAGCTAACACTTGTCTACTATCTACTTGGAGCCCTGGTAGCGCAGTGGTTAAGAGCTTGGCTACTAACCAAAAGGTCAGCAGTTCAAATCCACCAGCTGCTCCTTGGAAACTCTACGGGGCGGTTCTACTCTGTCCTATAGGGTCGCTATCAGTTGGAATCAACTCCACAGCAAGTAATTTTTTTACGTATGTAAACCTTTTTTTGGGTTCTTATAGTGTAGTATTCCATTGTGTGTATGTATCATAGTTTGTTTATCCTTTCATCTGTTGATGGGCACTTAGGTTGTTTCCATCTTTCTGTTATTGCGAATAATGCTGCAATGAACATGGGTGTGCATGTTTCTATTCATGTGACAGCTCTTATTGCTCTAGAATATATTCCTAGGAATGGGACTGCTGAATCATATGGTATTTCTAGTTATAGCTTTTCAAGGAGGCACCATATCATTTTCCATAGTGGTTGTACCATTTTACATTCCCATCAGCAGTGTGTAAGAGTTCCAATCTCTCTGCAAGCTCTCCAACATTTGTTATTTTGTTTTTTGTGATTAGTGCCAGTACTGTTGGGGTGAGATGGTATCTCATTGTAGGTTTGATTTGCATTTCTCTAGTGGCTAATGATTGCGAGCATTTCTTCATGTGTGTTAGCTACCTGAGTATCTTCTTTGGTGAAGTGTCTGTTCATATCCTTTGACTATTTTTTAATTGGATTATTTGTCTTTTTGTTGTTGAGATGCTGAAGTATTCTATAGATTTTATAGAGATTAGACCCTTGTTCAATATGTCATAGCCATTTTTTTTTCCCAGTCTGTAGGTTCTTTTTACTCTTTTGGTGAAGTCTTTTGATGAGCTTAAGAGTTTAATTTTTAGGAGCTCCCAGTTATCTAGTTTATCGTCTGGTGTTTGTGCATTGTTAGTTATGGTTTGTATTGTATTTGTGCCATGTATTAGTGCCCCTAAGGTTGTCCCTAATTTTTCTTCCATGATCTTTATTGTTTTAGGTTTTATATTTAGGTCTTTGAATTTTCAGTTAGTTTTTGTGTATGCTGTGAAGTATGGGTCCTCTTTCATTTTTAACACATGGACATCCAGGTTTGCCAGCACCATTTGTTAAAAAGACTGTCTTTTCCCCATTGAATGGACTTTGGTCCTTTGTCAAAGATCAGCTGACCATAGGTAGGTGGATTTACATCTGGGTTCTCAATTCTGCTCCATTGTTCTATGTGCATGTCATTGTACCAATACCAGGCTGTTTTGACTACCATGGCTGTACAGTAGGTCCTGAGATGAGGTAGTGTGAAGCCTCCTACTTTGTTCTTTTCCTTCAGTAATGCTTTGCTTATCTGGGGCCTCTTCCCTTTCCATATAAAGCTAATGATTAGTTTTTCCATCTCATTAAAGAATGCTGTTGGTATTTGGATCGGGATTGCATTATATCTGTAGATTGCTTCAGGTAGAAATGACATTTTCACAATGTTGAGTCTTCTTATCCATGAGCATGGTATGTTTTTCCATTTATGTAGGTCTCTTTTGGTTTCTTGCAATAGTGTTTTGTAGTTTTCTTTGTATAGGTCTTGTACGTCCCTGTTTAGATTTATTCCTAAGCATCTATCTTTTTAGGGGCTATTATAAATGGTATTGTTTTTCTGATTTCCTTTTCAAAGTTCTCTTTTTGGGTGTATAGGGACCCAATTGATTTTTCTATGTTGATCTTGTATCCTGCTACTTTGCTGAAATCTACTCCAGCAGTTTTCTTGTGGAATCTTTGGGGCTGTCTATGCATAGAATCATATCGTTTGCAAATAGGGATATTTTTACTTCTTTCTTACCAGTTTGGGTGTTCTTTATTTCTTTTTCTTGCCTTACTGCTCTAGCGGACTTCTAGCATAATATTAAACAGTAGTAGTGATAAAGGGCATCCTTGTCTTGTTCCCATTCTCAGGGGGAATGTTTTCAGCCTCTCTCCACTGAAAATGATGTTGGCTGTTGGTTTTGTATAGGTGCTCTTTATTATGTTGAGGAATTTCCCTTCTATTCCTATTTTATTGAGCGTTTTTATCAGGAATCAGTTTTGGACTTTATCAAATGCCTTTTCTGCATCAACTGAGATGATCATGGGATTCTTTTTTTCTATTTATGTGGTGGATTACGTTGATGGATTTTGAAATGAATCATTTTTTTAGGAAAATACAAAGCACTAAATTTGACTCAGGAAGTGGTAGAAAAACCTCACTATACCAATAACTGGAGCCCTGGTGGCGCAGTGGTTAAGAGCTCAGCTGCTAACTAAAAGGCCGGCAGTTCGAATCCACCAGCCACTCCTTGGAAACTCTGTGGGGCAGTTCTACTCTGCCCTATAGGGTCACTATGAATCAGAATCGACTTGATGGCAGCAGATTTATACCAATAACCATGGAAAGAACTAAAAGGACAATCAAGATTTAGGGCAATACAAAAAATAAAGACCCAAATAGTTTTATCAGCAAGTTCTTATAAATTTTTAGGGCATTCTTAATTTGTGTGTTATTTAAAGTATTTTGGAACATGAAAAAGATGGCAAGCTTACCAATACATTTTCTACACAAACCCTGATATCAAAACAAAATTAAGATAATATGAGAATATAATTATTGAGCAATTTAAAAAAGATGGAAAATTCCTAAATAAAACAGTAACTTATCAACTATAAAACTGTATTAGAATAATATTACTGACCATGATTATTAGGTTTTTACTTTGGGAATGATTCGTTCCACATAAGGAAACGTTTTAAAATTCACAAAGGATGAAACTATACAATCATTTCAGTAGATAGTTTAAAAATTAGTAAATTAGAATAATAAAGTATATTACAGGAACCAATAGAAAATAGAGATTGTAGTTAATGTTGAAATGCTGGAAGCATTCCCACTAAAGTCAGAATAAGGGAAGGATGCATGCAAACACTACTATTATTGCCTGGAGATCCCAGACAATTTAATAAGACATGAAAAAAAGCTATAAGCATAACTTAGGAAGAAACAGTATTAGTTTGCAAATTATATAACTGTGTATAGCGAAAATCCAGGAGAATCAACTGAAAAACAACTAGAACCAATAGGAGAAAGAATTACTTTCATGAATGCATCAAAAAATTATATCTAGGAATATCTAAAAAGTAATATGCAAGGCCTAGAGAAATTAAAAATATAAACTTATACTTCAGGACACAAAAGACTTGAATAAAAACATACAGGCATACCACATTCAAAAACTTCCATCCTCCCGAAATTTATAAATTAATTAAATGTAATCCAAATGTAAATTCCAATAAAATGACCCCTCCTCCACTTCTTTTTTTTTTTTTGGGTGGTGGTGGGCAGGGGGTGGGGAGGGGGGGAACCTGACAAGCCAATTCCAAAGCAAACAGGCAAACTCTTTTTAAAAAGGTAAAATAAACATACCATTAAGTTTCTGGTACACAACTAGACATAACAGAACAAAGCAGCAAAATAGGGAGTTAAGAACCAGACCCATATGTGTGTATGTTGAGGTGAGATATAGCAACACTATGGGAACAACTCCAATGTCATTGACAGGACAGTGGTTAAATAAATGGACCTAAAAAGTGGAATGTTCTTTTTTTTGTCAAGATCGTCTTGACTATCCTGGGTCCTTTACATTTCCATATGAATTTTAGTTTGTCAATTTCTGCAAAAAAGCCAGCTAGGATTTTGACAGGAATTGCACTGAATCTGTAAATCAATTTGGAGAGTACAGTACTGCCATTCTCACAATGTTAAGTCTTCCAAACTGTAAACATGAACTGTCTTTCCATTTAGGTCTTTTTAAATTTCTTTCAGCAATATTTTATAGTTTTCAGTGTACAAGTATTGTACTTCTTTTGCTAAATTTGTTACTAGGTATTTTTTTTATGCCATTACGAATGGAATCACTTTCTTAATTTCATTTTCAGATTGTTCACTCTAGTGTATAGAAATACAGTTGATTTTTGTATGTTGATCTTGTATCTTTATACATTTTTTTAAATTTCTACTATATCTTCCTTAAACATGTTTTACTCTTAAAATCAGAGGAAAAGGACTGTGCAAAAAATAGGTCAAATAAGTCTGTGTTAAATGATTTTCAAAGAAGCATATTTAAAGGAAGGGAATAGGTGAATACCTGATTAAACTGGTAGACAGATCTATTAAAATGCACTGTATTGAACACATACCTAAAATCTGTAAAACAAGCATTTCCAAGCTTTAGAAGTTTGGCAGAATCAAAGTTGTTGTTTTCATTAGTCTAGAAAATCCTTCCTTAGTGATTATTAGATGAAAACATTAAGATTCGGTGTGATTATGGACTTCCCACTGTCACAGCTAGTTAGTAGCAAATCCAGGACTAAAACTGGGACTTCTGATTCCCAATCCAGTGTTCTTTTCACCACTACACACTCAGTGAAGTAAGAATCAATAAAATAAGAAGTCTGGATATACACAGAAGTGTTTAGTTAGATTTATATCTAACTATATCAACTGTAAAACTGTATTAGAATAATCTTACTGACCATGATTATTAGGTTTTTACTTTGGGAATGATTCGTTCCACATAATCTCAGCTATGTCAACAACTAAGAAAAATATACTTGAAAATAAATGCTTTCAGGAGGTGCTTGATGAACAAGTTTACCATACGCCTATTGTGTTCAGGCTGACAACAGATTATTAGAACGTTAAAGTTAAGCTTACCAATGGGGACAAACGGTGCCTCTTTAGCTTTTCGGATAAGTTTGGATCCTTGATCTTCATCATATGAAGAAAGAGAAACATCTGTGTTGGATGACATAGTGATTGGTTGAAGAATCTTCCTGAAAGACAGTTTTCATGAGGCTCTGTAATTAAAAGCATCTAGACCACTATAAAGTGCCTAGGTGTACAGGTAGTCCTTGGGTTAAGAACGAGATCCGTTCCTAAGTCTTTAAGTTGAATTTGTACGTAAATCGGAACAGGCACATATGGTTCATATTTAGTGTCAGTCAAATGTTTGTCTTAGTATATAGCATATATTTTACTTTTCTATGTATATAAAACACTTAAGAAACATTGCCAAACCATGTAGTGTTTTCATGGGCATCACAAAAGTAGTGCGTGCGTTTGTTGTTCTGAACCATTGTATTTAACTCAAATTTTTAACATCATAGGTTTTATGGCAGTCCATTCTAAGTGTGAGTTGTTCGTAAGCTGGACATTTGTAACCTGGGGACTGCCTGTAGTTAAAAATTCCTAGTTTCTACGTAAAACCTGTATATGTTATCCATGAACTTTTCTAAACATTTTTTACTCTATACCACCTCTAAGGAGAATTTTGAGAACTACCACCTATAGTTTTGAAGCTTCCTCCATACAACCAATTCCTTTTTAGCACCATATTGTTAAAAACATGTTAAAACATTGTTAAAGAAAAAAAAATTGAAGTGACTTTTATCAATTAAAATAGCAGCTGTTAACTTTCTGGCTTTCTTTAATCAACTTTGACTTGACAGCTTTAAATTACTCAGACCAAACTGATATTCCTTATTGCTTCCTCAATATGGTGGAAATCCTACTGAGCACTTTTAATTGTAGTAAATATAGTCTTAATTGCTTTCAACTGCTACTGACTCATTTGCTCCACCAAGCTACCTGGATTCGGTTCTCATCTCTCAGTAGTTTCCAACCCATTACACTAAGCTTTGTTATTGACAATGGCAGTCTTTGGGGAAAGATTACACTCACTGTAAACAGCCAAAACCTCTACCTAGCTCATCATTTACTCTTTTAAGAACAAAGCTTCAGTTTTAAAAGTTCAAATCTACCAGCTGCTCCCTGGAAACCCAATGAGGCAGTTCTACTCTGTCCCTATAGGGTTGTTATGAGTCGGAATTGACTCGACGGCAGTGGGTTTTGGTTTTTAAGCTGCGGCTCAAAGGAGCCCTGGTAGTGCGGTGGTTAAGCATTCAGCTGCTAACCAAAAGGTTGATAGTTTGAGCCCGCCAGCTGCTCCGCAGGGAGAAAGACATGGCAGTTTGCTTCCATAAAGATTACAGCCTTGGAAACCCTATGTGTCATCTCATGTACTTTGGACATGTTATTAGGAGGGCCTAGTCCTGGAGAAGGACATCATGCTTCGTAAAGTAGAGGGTCAGCAAAAAAGAGGAAGACCCTCAGTGAGATGGACTGACACAGTGGCTGCAAGTATGGACACAAACTAGGGCTTCAAACTGATTCAAACCCCTGCTGATAATTTGCATTTCTAACAAATTTCCAGATAATGCTATTGCTGCTGGTTAGAGACCAATTCTGAAAACCACTAGTAGAGCAGTGGTTCTCAAAATTTATTATACATAAGAATCACCTAGGGATCTTGCTAAAAGGTAGATTCTGTTTCAGCATATCTGGGGTGGAAATGCAAATTTTCAGCAGGGATTCAAACCTGAACTAACCGGTTTGAAGCCCTGGCTGAAACATAGCAACAATTGTGAGGATGATGCAGGACCCGGCAGTGTTTCGTTCTGTTGTACACAGGGTCACTGTGAATTGGAACCAACTCGACAGCACCTAACAACAAACTTGCAGCTCTGCCTTCCTTTACGTATCTTATTATTCTCCCGGCTTCTCTCAGACTGGATGCACTGTTTTCTCTGGACCTTCTTTTAGATTATTCCTTTAAGTGGGGCAAAAAATGTAAAGACAGTAGCTTGATAGTGTGTAAGGAAGACAGAAAAAAAAAAAAAAAGATTTATTACCATTATTACAAGGAGCAAAGGCTCCTTCTCCCTTTTCAGTCATCTTCCTTCATACAGAAAGCTCATAAGCATTTCATCACAAAGAGGCAGTAATATAATTTCACCTTGGTCATAGTAACTATGTATATACTTCCTTTTTCACTGAATTCATTTGAACTGCCTGTAAACTTTACTCATACATAAAATAAGGGAGTCAAACATAATATGTAACCACACAAGTCTCTGATTAGTGTCAACTACAATAAACTCTAAAGTCAACTCCCATCCCACTGCCCATACAAAATCCTACCTTCACTTCTGAGTTTTTCATGTGCATCACACGCCCCTTGATAATAGCTCTTATTCAACACCTTGCAACCCAAAGGGGGTTAGTGGTAGTTAAGGCCTCCCCCAAACTGCAGAAACTCTAGGGGTGAGGATGTGTGCTTAGTTTGAAAAGTGAATTCATCCTTCCAACTTCACACACCCACTGAGAACTAAGAGTCCAATTCCGTCATCTGACAGAGAAGAAAACCTTAACCCAGAGCAGTTGCGCAGTATCAGTCAGATAGGAGAGAACTCAGAATTAGACCTTTAACTTCTCTTTTTCTGTGCTCCCTTACCTCCCAATTGAATACATTCCTACTTACTGAGCTCTTACTATGTACAAGGTTCAATGAGGAGCCTCCAGGGAACTCACTATGTATTTGAAAAGAGATAATGCATACAACTCTGAAATAACTAATGTTTCAAAAGTTAGATTTCTTTTTTTAAGAGAGATGACAGAGTGTGATTAATTGTCAATAGTGTAATAGAGACCATGAAGACTGATTTCAGAGGGACTGATGTCTTTTAGTTAAAGTACGTATGGGAGGTTTCACAGAGAATGACGGGATTGACCTTGAAGAATCTGCATAAATGGACTAGATGGAGAGATTCATATTGTACTTACTTTAGGCTGATACGTTTATTAGCTGCCTTCATACCAAATAATAAGCTCCTCGAAAACATAACTGTTTATCACAAAGCCTCCTTCCAACTCCCTCCCCCAATCCCACATCCCAACCACATTAAACTTCTAGGTGCTCTCTGGAAACCCTGGTGGCATAGTGGTTAAGTGCTACAGCTGCTAACCAAAAGGCTGGCAATTCAAATCCACCAGGCGCTCCTTGGAAACTCTACGGGGCAGTTCTACTCTGTCCTATAGGGTCACTATGAGTTGGAATCAACTCGATGGCAACGGGTTTGGTTTTGGCTTATACCTCCAAGCCTCTGCACAAGTTGATTCTTCTACCTGTTAACACTCTTCTTCCCTTTCCCCACTTTCCATCCCCTTCAGACACTCTCTCCTGGCTAACTTCTTTCTATCCTTCAGATTCATACCTTAATGACGTCCTCTGGGAACTCTTCTCGACTCTATGCATTTACAAGTGCTTTGGTTATGCAGTGCCATAGGATGCTCTGGGGGCATTGGTGGTCAGTGGTAGAATTCTCACCTTCCGTGCAGGAGGCCCAGCCGATGCAACTCATCACAGCCACCACCCATTTTTCAATGGAGGCTTGTGTGGTGCTGTGATGCTAAACAGGTTTCAGTGGAGCTTCTAGACTAAGTCAGACTAGGAAGAAAGGCCTGGTGATCTACTTCCAAAAATCAGCCAATGAAAACCCTGTGGATCACAACAGTCCGATCCACAGCCCATCATGGGGATGGTGCAGGGCAGGCAGCATTTCGTTCCATTGTACATGATGCTGCTAAGAGTCAGGGGCCAGCTTGCTGGCAGCTAACAACAACAACAGGACCCTTTTTCTGTTATAACCCTTTATTATAGGTGCTTGTTTAATTGCCTGTTTCTCTTGCTAGAATCCTTGAAGTCAGGGGCCTACATCTCTTCTGCTCATATCTATCTTCTCTGCCTGGTGTGATGCCTTGCATGTAATAAGTACACAACATAACATTTGCTGAATGAATTAAAAAGTTTTGTTTTTCAACAAACAAAATTATTCTCGGGTAATTTATTTAGCAATATTTAGTGAAAACAATAATAATTATACACATTTGTAGAGCTTAATCAGTCAGTAAGAAAAATGCCAAACTGTATGTATGTAGGAATTATTTCTTTCATAATTCTTCTATTGTATTTGTGAAAGAAGACATAATAACCAGGGTAGGTCTTGGCTCCTTGAAACCATGAGACAAAACTATTATATACCATAATCCATTTTTTAAAACTAGCAACTTCTTCCGTAGATATAAAAGCACATTTTCCTCCTTTGCCTTCATTTTTCCTAAACCAAGAAATCATTTGGAAATTATCTTTAAAAGCAAGAATGTTAGTACTTTTCCCTCTAATCACCGCACATCTGGATAACTAACTGCCTAACAGATCACCTCAACTTTTGTTCTTTGCTAAATCGATTAATCTTGCTAAACATTTCTTTCTTTGTGTTACTCTCCCATCTAAAAATCTTCTATGGTTCTCTAGGATCTACAGATTTAGTTCATCCTTTCAGTGACCCTCATGCTTTTACCTAGCTCAAACATCACTTCCTTTAAGAAGCTTTCCCTTACTTCCCTCAGGAGAGTTAAGTTCCCTTAGTATGCTGTTTTCCCCATAAAGTCTGCTGTTATCTCTATATAGGTTTTCCCCTACACCTCCACTCTCTAGACAGCTGAGAATCCTAATTGTATCTACATTCCCAGTTACTGGCACATTAACAGGCAAAAAGACAGAAAAAAACAAAAATCAAAGAGCTTGCACAACATGTAGCCTTAAATAAATTCCATTTGTTTTGTCTAAACTCATTCTAGTATATTTCTGTTGCCTATAAAACTCACTGCCATTGAGTCAATTCCAACTCATAGCGACCCTATAGGACAGAGCAGAACTGCCCCATAGGGTTTCCAAGGCTGTGATCTTTATGGAAGCCACATCCTTCTCCCACGGAGCCACTGGTGGGTTTGGTTAGCAGCCGAGCATTCAACCACTGCGCCACTAGGGCTCCTTTCTATTACCTATAACCAAGTCTTAATATAACACATAACTAAAATTCTTGTCTTGGAATAAAACGTCTCTGAATTTCAGTGTTCCTGTAAAAAGCCTTAGCCTTGTGAGACAAGAAAATGCATACAATATAAAGATTGTTTGCTTCCACTTTCCCTAGAAGCGTTTTACTTCATACCAAATCAGACCACACCATGAGAATGAGATCTGTAGCCATTTGTCTAATTAACTGCTCTGATCCGAGGGCCAAACCGTTACAGCCCAAACTAGGTCCTTAGGTTAAGCCCCAAGGTACCAGGAAGGCTGGAGGGAAAAGTATGAAGCCCAGACCTTGGAGACATCTCTAGGTTTAAAAATTGGAGAGACCTGAGGTTTATCTGGACATTGGAAGGATGCATTTACATTCTAAAAGGTTAGGTTGATAACCCAGGATCCTTTCCGTCCTGTCTCAATGGAGCAAAAAGGAGGGGGACGGCTGTCTCTTTTCTGTATATAAACGGAGACTAGGAGAATATCCATTGTTCTCCATTCCTCACCTCTGACACAGACTCTGAAGTTTGTATGGGTAGGACTTTTGACCTGGCTTTCAGAATGTCACCACCCCTTGGGTAAGAATCAGGGTGGGGAGCCATGTCATCATTATTTGCTGTACATGACTAATGATAATCTTTCTCTGATCCATAATACTCATGTGCACATTCAGGATAATATTAATCAAGATGAATATTAAAAATCCAACACTTACATCAGAGTTATTTGTTACCTTATAGTTCAAAAGTTATCTTTACACCATCTTATAAATTCTGATATAGTATGTACCTGTTACATACTCTCTGGATAGAAGATTTTGATAATTGTCTTCCTAATTACCACCTAGAAGTTTCCCAAGTGTTCACAATATACAGCTACCTGAAATTAAGGATGATTTGCTTTGAAAGTATTAGGGTCAATAACAAGAAATCTCGTAAGTTGAAAGCAACAGATGACCCAATGATTAATCCATGCCAGTAACCTCATTTACAAATGAGTTCTGAGCGGTTACATGGATTTTCAACACCAGGGATACATCTCTGGCAGAACAGGATTACAACCCAACTCTGTTGATATTCAGCCCAGGGTTCTTTTGATAGACAACCTATTGCCAAATCATCAGATACTACTGAAAACCTTTCCAATGCATGAGGACCTGGAAGAGGTATAATGGAAAATGAGCTGCCCCTAGCATCAGGTGATGGAACAGACTGGAGGATCTTCACAGTCTGTCTTTTTGGTCACAGGAACTACTATCTAAAAAAGCAACGGTTTAAAACTTCGATTTTGCATCACTCACCTATCAAGCTTGTTTAAAACGGCTGCTGAGGCCCCACCCTGGAGATGCTGATTCACACGGTCTGGGCAGGGCTCAAGGAATCTGTCTTTTAAGAAGCCCCATCAAGTGATTCTGGTCCACACCAAAGTAAGAGAACGCCTGGTCTAAACCAAAAACCCCTTGCCATCGAGTCGATTCTGAAGCATAGTACTACAATTTGTCACAACTCTTCATTCAAACTAGTCTTACTCGGAAGTGCCTGGGTACTTCCGGAAGCATAGATCCCTTTGGTAGGGATTCCCCTGAAGAGGGAAACAGCTGCATTCACCGCGGGTAATCAAACAGAAAAAGGCGAGTAACACCGCTGAAGTCATACCAGCGGCTTCCAATTCTAAACTCATACCCTGCTTTGTAATTTCCCATCCACAGGCTTACTTTTCAAGAAGAAATTTTAATTCCGTCACAGATGCTTCAAACAGGACCTGAGGCCTTCGAACCTTCACAGGGTAGGTCAAGGCGCACAGGGTGGTTGGAAACACCGGGTTGGGGACAGGAGGTAGGCAGTGGACTACCTCTGTTTTTCGCCCTCCCTTCAATCTCTCAACCTTTCTCCTCTCTCGCTTCCTGTGACCTTGTCAGGACTCCAAGGCCGGAGTCCTCCCCTGGCTATCCCTCCTCACCCACCGATCTGCCCCAGCTCTCAAGAGAGCATGCTCCGGGGACGCTCCGGGCTTCCGGCTCCCAAGCCGGCCCCAGCTCCGCTTCACAGGTCTCTCGTTACTCCATCTCTGAGTCTTCCCCGGTCGGCAAGGATTCATTCAGTCCATGAGATTTTGCTTCTTTCACTCCGTAATGTTCTCACCTGACACGACCCCAGACCTCGTCTTCAGGCCCCTGGCATCTCCTGATCCTCGTGGTCGGATCTGAGCCCGACCCACTACACCCCGATCCCAGGCATCGCTCCCACTCCCAACCCCGCGGCCCCAATCTCTCAAGGTCCTCTAAGCCCAGCCAAGAGTTCCCTCCTTTCTTCCCGCCCGGCAGTTCGGAGCCCACCGCTCCCAATAACCCCTCATACTTCACTCACCACGAGAAAGCTAACTCCGTAAACTCCCACCGGCTTCTGACCCCGGTCCGCGAACCTTTGCCCGCCGGTTTCTCTTCGTCCCGCCCGCAGCCGGCCCCAGCCAATCAGAAGCCAGAAGCTGGCACGTGGGGGGCGGTACCTGGCCCGGTGGGTGCGTGCGTGTACGCGATGGGTGGGGCGGCTCGGAGAGGGTCTTGGATTGGCTGGGGCGGGGCGTGCGCTACTTTTTCAGACCAACCACGTGAAAGCTGAGAGTGCGGAGTCCGGGGTTCGCGCGAGGACGTTTGAGCGGTCCTGTCTCGGATTTCTCTTGCCCTTATCTCTTGGGCGGCGGCTGCAGCAAACACTGTGAACGCTATATCCCGAGCGCTGGCTCCCTGCGTAACGCTGCGCGGGCCAGTGGGGACCGGGGGCGAGGGCTTTCGGCCGCGGCCTACTGTTGGGAGGCTGCGGGTTAAGTGGGTGCACCTTCCTGCTCTCAGGGCGCTGTATCCGTTCCTGCCTCCTGGTGCTTATCCGCCACGGTCGTGTGCTGTTGGGCCTTCCGTAGGACCCTTCGTGGATCTTACACTTTAGTGGGGGGTGGCCATCAACTGCAAGCCCGGGGTCACATGAGTGACCTCAGTCAGACCGGTAGAGGCTTTTCTTAGGAAGGAAGTGACAGAGACCCCTCCTGGCAGTGAACTTCTGGGGGGACTGAGCACCTCTTTCGTTCGTTTTTGAATCCCTGGCATAGACTGTTCAGTAACTATCTGGCGAATTGATGCAAGGAATTGAGGATTGTGCCATGGGGAGTATATCTGTGACTAAATTGGAGTCTCTTAACCATAAAACAGGGCAGATTGCCAAGTGCTGTGTTACACAGGTAGGAGCTGTATGCCGTGGGCTCAGGATTTTAAAAACCTTTTATCCAAAATTGAGTTTAGACGCCATGTAGGAAGAGTTCCTGCTATGTATGATAAAAACCCCATCCCCTGGTGATGTAGCTTTCAGCTCCTTGAAAGCACAAGTTTGGTCATCCTGGTATCTCTGTAATGTTAAATGAAGAAAGATATAACAGCTGCAGGGACTGGAGGACTTAAAAGATAAATAGGGATAATCAGGGACTCAGTTACGGTAACTGAAACAATAAAGGAGCCTGATTTCAATATGAAGAAATGATCTCTTTCTGATTAGTACACTACTTAGAAACTAAAATCTTGATAAATGTTAGTGATAAATATCTGAAACAGGTACTAGGTAATGCAGAAGACTTTAAAATGGAGATTCTGCGGCAGTTTATATGATGTTACAAGAAAACAGTGACCACAAATGGTTACATCTTTCATAATACAGACATAATTAATAACATATGCAGCATGTATTATTCCTTTGTCCTTATTGTGTGTCATTTTGAAGTATACTTTCTGACTGATGCCAGCACAATGATGCAGAAGACTTAAAAAAAAATTATCTGGATTCTCAAATGCAAAATTAACCCACCGGTAGTTAATAGAAAGGTAGCACAAGAAGTGTCTCTTAGCTTTGCCAAGTTGCCCTCTTCAGAAACCCTATAACTTCTCATGCTCCAAGTAGCTGTCCACACATGGCCATATCTATTTTAAGGGGAATGGACTTCAAAACTCATGCATGTTTAGACTGAGGTTCCATCTAAGCAATTCTCAGACTTAAAGTTACGCTGTTACTGATACCATCTTTAAAAATACTGTGATGCTGTGGACTTTGGTTAAAAACAAACATTAAATCTTTTGAAGAAATTGGTAATACCTATGACTGTTTTAAAACCAGAGTTGGGAGTCACCGTCAAAAATTATTGAATATATTGTGCTGGGTACTGTACTGGACTCAGAAGTTAAAGACTGCCCCTGCCCTGAAATATTTTGTAATTAGGTAGAAGGGACAGGTATACAGCAAAGACAGCCTATGATAAGTGCTTTGAATGGAAATTAATGTACATATGACCATGACTAGAGCAGTTTCAAAGAAGGCTTCCTGGGACTGGGGCTTGAGTGACCCTGGAAGGATGACCAGCATATAAATAAGTCGGGAGGATGTTTGAGAAAGAGCAAACAGTGGGCAGAGGAACGGAGGTAGGACTGTAGGATCGTAGCTCTGACATGAAGGATGGTGAGTGGGGAAAGACAAAAATTTGTCACTAAAGCAACAGAGTCAGAATAAGGGAAAGTAGGTTTGAACCACACTGGGGAGGACCTTAAATGCTAATTTAAATAACTTGAATGGCATTCTGTTAGGTCGGCTGTCAAGGTTTTGGAGCAGGGCGTCGACAAGAGCAGAGTGCATTTGAGATACTTGTAGTGGAGAGTAGATGGATTAGGAAGGGACTGTCAGCATGACTCAGCCAGAAAATTAAAAAAAACTTCAGTATGTGGCTCATGATATTCAGTCTATTAAGGCCAGTTTCCCCCTGGTCTTACGGATATGGAAGGCTGCTGCCTGCAGTAGAGTCATTCCTCTACCACGTTGCCAAGGACCACTGCTTTGAAGCAGCTGTACTATACTTATAGACTAGCCCTAGGGAGAATTGACTAGAGATCAGGCCGTCTTAAGATTCCATGTCAAAGGACAGTCCTGTTGCCCTGATGGGTGACTAATAGTATATTATAACTCAATACCTTTTACATTTTGCAAAGTCATGGATAGTACTTAAGCTGTTTAAAAACAAAACAAAAAAGAAATTCTCTGGTCATCTGGCTTGGACTGCTCGTTGAAGTCTGTTAAGCGTTTTGTGTTGTCGTTAGGTGTCATCGAGTCAGTTCCAACTCTTCGCAACCCTACGTCCAACAGAACAAAACACTGCCGGGTCCTGCGCCATCCTCATGATCGTTGCTATGTTTGAGTGCATCGTTGCAGCCACCGTGTCAGTCTATCTCGTTGAGGGTCTTACTCTTTTTTACTGACCCTCTACTATACCAAGCATGATGTCTTTCTCCAGGGACTGGTCCCAAGTAATAACATGTCCACAGTATGTGATACGAAGGCTTGCCATCCTTGCTTCTAAGCAGCATGCTGGCTGTACCTTCTCCAAGACTGACTTGTTCGTTCTGCTGGCGGTCTGTGGTATATTCAGTATTCTTCGCCAGCACCATTATTCAAAGGCGACAATTCTTTAGTCTTCCTTATTCATTGTTCAGCTTTCACATGCCTATGAGGCGATTGAAAATACCATAGCTTGGGTCTGGTGCACCTTAGTTCTCAAAGTGACATCTTTGTTTTTTAGCACGTTAAAAGAGGTCTTTTGCTGCAGATTTGCCCAATGTAATACGTTGTTTGATTTCTTGACTGCAGCTTCCATGGGTGTTGATTGTGGATCCAAGGAAAATGAAATCATTGAGAGCGTCAATATTTTCTCCATTTATCATGATATTGCTTATTGGTCCAGTTGTGGGGATTTTTATTTTCTTTATGTTGAGACGTAATCCATACTGAAGGCTGTGGTCTTTGATCTTCATCAGTAAGTGCTTCAAGTCCTCTTTGCTTTCAGCAAGCAAGGTTGTGTCATCTGCATATTGCAGGTTGTTAATGAGTCTTCATCCAATCCTGATGCCGTGTTCTTCTTCGTATAGTCCAGCTTCTTGGATTATTTGCTCAACACACAGATTGAATAAGTATGGTGAAAGGATACAACCCTGATGCACATCTTTCCTGATTTTAAACCATGAAGTATCCGCTTATTCTGTTCAAATAACTGTCTCTTGGTCTGTGTACTGGTTCCTCATGAGCACAATTAAGTGTTCTGGAATTCCTGTTCTTTGCAGTGTTATCCATAATTTGCTATGATCCACACAGTCAGATGCCTTTGCGTAGTCAATACAACACAGATAAACATTTTTCTACTTTCAGCCAAGATCTGTCTGACATCAGCAATGATATCCTTTGTTCCATGACCTCAGATTTATCCTGAAGTACAATGCTCTCGGTGATAATATCCACGCGCCTTTAAGGAAGACCAGTTAATACGACTTACTCAAATTTATGCACCAACCACTAATGCCAAAGATGAAGAAATTGAAGATTTTTACCAACTTCTGCAGTCTGAAATTGATCAAACATACAATCAAGATGCCTTGATGTAGCAAAAAGATGGAAACAACCTAGGTGCCCATCAACAGATGAATGGATAAACAAATTATGGTATATCCACACAATGGAATACTACGCAACGATAAAGAACAACGATGAAGCCGTGAAACATAACATGGAGGAAGCTGGAGGTCATTATGCTGAGTGAATTTAGTCAGTCACAGAAGAACAAATATTGTATAAGAACACTATTATAAGAACTCAAGAAAAGGTTTAAACACAGAAGAAAACATTCTTTAATGGTTATGAGGGTAGGGAGGGAGGGAGAGGGTTATTTATGAACTAGATAGTAGATAAGAATTATCTTAGGTGAAGGGAAGGACAGCACTCACTACAGGGGAAGTCAGCACAACTGGACTAAACCAAACATAAGAAGTTTCCTGAATACAGTCAGACACTTCGAGGGACAGAGTAGCAGGGGTAGGGGCCCGGGGACCATGTGGGACATCTAGGTCAATTGGCATAACAAAGCTTATTAAGAAAATGTTCTGCATCCTGCTTTGGTGAGTGGTGTCTGGGGTATTAAAAGCTTGCAAGCGACCATCTAAGATGCATCAACTGGTCCCAACCACCTGGAGTAAAGGAGAATGAAGAACATCAAAGACACAAGGAAAGTACTAGCCCAAGACA